CTCTTAACAGTACAGAATCAAATTGATAAGTAAACACAAGTTTAAATTCATTTCAAAGTCAATTAATATCCGGTTGCTTTAGGCTGGAGATCAGAACTCTGGTTTTGATTGCACAAATGTTTGCATTTCTTAAAAATACAGTGTATTGTGCCCTGGTGTCTCTTCGATTCAAAATTAATTATTGGTTTCTCTATTCTTACTTTTTGAAATGTGACACAAAGTAGCCTTGGACAGGGTTTACCATTAAAATTGTGATGAGTTTCTGACGTATGATGGACAGAACGTTCATGCATTAATATTTGTCAAGATATAAGCAAATTTCCAAGGAGCTGCTCGAGATATGTTAGAAAATATTAGTTCATAAGACTGGATCACTAGGGATGCAAAACACAGTGCTATGTTCTTCTAAATGTCTTTTAAGGACATAATGCTTGATTGTTGTTGGGTGTATACTGGAAGAGTTCTTGCATATGTTAATTATGAAACAAAATCTTAGCACCAGATTAGATGTAATGCCCCGTTGTTGGGCTTTGGGGATTAGTGAGTGCAAAATACTGGGAGGCATAGGCAGGCAAAGTAAGAAAAGAAAATCCTCTACTCTGGTTCCCACTTGTGGGATGCCCTAATCAACGTGTCCAGAATCTGCTCAAGTCGAGAATCGGCATGTTCAGTCACATGGAAACCTGTATCAGAAACATGTGACCTGAAATAGACATCATAGTCAAATCAAGAGACAGCCAACCGTGACTGGGAGACACATTATGAATAGAACAGAAAAATATTGAGAAAAAGCTGGAGGGCACTTTAAAATAGAATATCTTTTATTGTCATGCTGTATTACCATTGTGAATAAGATAACAGGTACACATTTGTTCAAGTACTTGCTACACTTTGGTTATCTTAAAGGTTTGCTGTGCAGTTCAAAGAACTTAAAGCCCTGAATTAAGATTCAAACAGAAACACAGGGTGCAATTTGCCTCTTCCTAAACTGATGGGAATAATGGCAAATGTGATGATTTAAATGGCAAGAGTACAGAAATCAGATTATTGGTATGGAATTAGACTGTGACTGAATTTTCTTCCACCTTAGGTGGCAAGATCAAAATCTGGGTGTCAGGTGGTGAGAAAAGTTTATTTTGCATTTTTTAATTACACAGCTCTCCATATTAACTTTCCTTTCGCATTTAACTTCTCTCCAGTCAAGAAACTCATGCTTCAAAAACTCAAAAGTATAAACCAAGTGGGTACTTTTTTGAGTTGGGTTCTCCAATTGAGTCTAAGTGAGTTCACAGCTGTGCCAGCTATCTTTCTTCTCTTTACATTACTTTAGATGGAGCTGCTACAACTGGCAGCTGCCTAATAACAAGGAACATGGGCACTTTGGGCAATCATGCACAAGCTAAGGATACATCATACTATTTGTTAGCACATTAAATTTGGTTTCTTGCAACTGCTGTTCATTTCATCTGTAAGAATAAATCTTAGACAATGAAGCTGAATGTTGTCAGGGCTCAGGCATCCCTTTAATAACACATGTCTGTTCTTTTTCTCTCAGATCAGTTGCAACTAATCTAATAAAGAATGGTTCTGATAAATAGAGCTATTCAAACTAGCGGTGCCACAATAACAAGAAAGGTGCAGAAGAGAGAAAGAACAGCTTCTACAGGCTCAGCACAGGCAGAAACAGCCATTTCCTGCTGCACGCCATCCGCAGAGAGAAGCAACAGGATATGACTCACTAGTGAGGTGGAGAGTCCTGGCATGAAACTGTGCCAAATTCACACTGCAGAGAGCAGCACTGTAGTGTGACTTATTTGAAGAAGACTGACAATGTCCTAAACTACATCCTCACCTATGCCAACCGTTGGACAAGGGCTGGATGACAGTCTGATCATGGTAGCCCTCAAGGTTATGGTTGTCTTTCTATTGCAAGCAGGTTATTTCAGAGAACAACTGAGAACCTCTGTAGGATTTCACAGTCCCCAATTCATATGTGCATGAAAATGTCACTAATGCCAGAGCCCATCTATTCAAAATGTCCTCCCTTGACACGGCCAGTCAAGCAGCAAGGGCACCAGGATTTACATCCATCCCTGGCTTCCTGCAGATTCACAGTACAAACAATTGCACCAACGTGGCTCAATCAGTAGTCTATCATCAACCAGTAGTCTTTGTTTACAGAAGAGAATTCTACCCTTTAATGTTCACCTTATTATGGCCATTACAGCCAGATTGTGTAAACATGTGCGGTATACCCAGGGAGCTGCTGTGACTCATGTACTGGAGTGTTCACGTATCAGACAATTTCCTATGCGCAACCCATACAATGGTTGGTGGATGTTGAGAGTATCTGCTTCAAACCTGCCTTGTAGCATTCTTTTTAAAAAAAAGTCCTTAGATGACCACAAACCAGCATACATTGCTGTCCACTCAGGGTCATCGTGGTACAGACCATGAGTCTCTTGGACATGAAATTGAAGAATATGTCACTTGTGCTGACTACAGAGTTGTGTCTTCTGTATGGTGCTCAGCTGGTGCCTGGTTTCTGGTAGCCCTCTGAACATCAGAGACTTGAAGCATTTCTTCCTCAATCAACTGTGGAGATATATTGATGTGTTCACCTGAGCTGTGCTGTCCCTGAGTTTAATCTAGAAAGTGAACTCTCTGAGATGATTGTTTCTGTGGTGGTTAAGGATACAGGTGAATTTCTTGCTGGTGCATTCTCCTGAGGATTCACACACTGCATCCTGTGAGATGGTGGTGTTGTTGAAGAGAGTTCAAGCTGTTGCCTGTTCCTGACTGATGGTCCCTAGTGCCTACAAAAGAGATCTACTACTGACTACTTTGCACGACTTCTGCCTGTGCCTCTTTAGTGGAGCCACAACACTGACCCATGCTGCGATCTTTGGCCAGGCTTGATGGGTGTGGCAAAATGACTGCCATGCCCAGTGAGCCAGGAAGAGTTTTGACCTTCTCTCTATGATGCTATCCATCAGCACCCATCCAACGCTGGGAGTGCATTTTGCTGTAACCTAGAGTTTGCTGCGTTCAGTTTTCAGGCGACCATCACTGGCTGAGAGGATGCTCTTGGCTCCAGTACAGTCAGTTCTGATATAACGTGTGTTTCTTCAATGCGAATTGGCTTTAATGCAATTGAAGAATTTAGACCGCTATTTGTAGAATGCGAACCTTCCCTACCTGTATTGGCTATAACGCAATTCCGGCCCCATTAGTTTAAATGGCGGCTATTGCACAATTTTCTTATAATGTGAGATCACAGGAGGACGAAACTATCACATTATATCAGAACCGACTGTATCTGGAATGGTGTCCAGTTTGACTTTAAATGTGGTCCCAGGCCTTCTAGACGGGAGGTGGGTGAGAGCTTTTGGTTTGGTTGCCTCAGTTTGTGGAGTAACTTACACAATAATTTACTTGTGTAGTGTCTGATAGGGGTGATGAAAGGAGCAGTACACGATCTGTTAACATAACTTCTCCCTGACCATGGTGGCTCTGATACATCCAAAATGTGTCATAATTATAATATCAAATTGGAACATTCCGCTTGCAGGGTTTAGGAGCTAGTTGGAAGGACAGATCATTTTCATAAAGGAGGTAAGACTAGCAGAAATGAATTGTGAGCATAAGGAGAAAATCAATATGGAAACAAAATGTTGTAAATATTCAGCAGTCTGGAATGCAGCACAAAACACAGTTAATGTTTCAGATTAATATTTCATCAATTCCTACCTGTTACATTTCTAACTGTTTTTCCCATTCTGATGAAGGGTAACTGACCTGAAACCTTAACTCTTTCTCTGTCCACAGATAATGTCAGATCAGCTGGGTCTTGCACTACATTTTCAGTTTTTGTTATGGATTTCCAGCATCAGCAATATTTTGTCTTTAGCAACAATAGAGCAGAAAGAGGAGTAAACAAAGCAAACAGTGCTGAGTTCTGTATGAAAAACTGTCCCCCAGTGATTTTGTTGCAAAAGTCTTCATTAGTTAATGCTGTAATACTATTCATGCTGTTCTGAAGATTGCAGTCTTGGAAGTGATGAGTCCACCAGGTAATATTGCACATATTAGATAAGACCCAGTTCAAGGTTTTGGCTGTGGATTTTGCAGCATGGTATATATTTCCAGGATATGATAGTAGGATGAAACAGCAAGCTGTGATCAAGCCATGGGAGTGAGAGAAGTTTCAGGGGCCAAATAGGCTATTTCTCTGCTTTCTTCTGAGAGGGGAAGGAACAACATTGAGTGATTGGCCAAATGGTGATATGTCTTGAGTACAGTGATGCAGTAATGTGCTCAGTTGTCTGTCTGGAAGGTGCAAGTGAGAACAGACATTTGCAAGATCGGTGCGTTTTGTAGATACATGCACACTGTATATTTTTTAAGATACATAAATGGATGGAATCTTTTCACACCGTCAAACTAAATTGAAATGTGATCTCAAGAAATGCTGTCAGAAAATTAATTAATTGGGCTTTCTGTTTACTCTTGTCATTTGTACAAATCATTATTGCCCTCATAGAGAGGGTGCATGAATACTGCTCAGGAAGTGAAGGCAAAGAGACTGAGGCACAACTGATATTCCTGAACATGAAGATAGCAAGAAAATAGTTTTTTAAAGAAGATTCCATTATGATGTAGTGACAGGAAATTGGCTCCAGTAGTGGAGCAGAGTGGAGGAGTTGAACAGCAATGGAATTTAAGGGAACTAAAGGTTATTTGGGATGTAACACTGAAAAAGGCTTTTTAAAGACAAGGATCTCAATATCAATCTACCTGGACGTTGGAAGCCTGTGAGGTTTGCGAGCATGGATAATGAACTACAAGGCTGAAGGTTTTTTCACTGGAGCTGTCCTGCACAATCTTGCTGAGTAATACAGTTTTTGAAGCACTTTTGGAAGACCATTGACACATTCTAAAGGTATGAAATGTGTGAATTATGTTCTTTTTGTTTATAACGTTTTTGGTTTTTTTTGTAGCATGGAATGACTCCTTTAATGCATGCTGCATATAAAGGCAAGGCTGAAATGTGCAAGCTGCTGTTGCAACATGGTGCAGATGTGAACTGCAATGAACATGAGCATGGATATACAGCCCTTATGTTTGCTGGACTTTCAGGTAACTTCCTTGTTTAATGCTGTGGTGTTACATTGATAGGACCCTTGGTATCTGGTGAATGGGTTGACTTCTTAACTTACAACAGGTGTTACTACAGCAGGCTTTGTTTTAACCAGCACCTTATGAACTGGAACTCTCGATAAACTAGCACAAATTATATACCTGAAATACTAGAAGTTTACTGTTTCTCTGTGATGTCCAAGTAGTCAGTTGAGGGTGAGTGAGAAGGCTGTCTGCCAATAGGTTTATTTAAGTGATTCTTGCTGTAAATAAAGTATAACACTGTTATATACCCCCAAAACATGATTCTATTACTTAGTGTGTGATTTAACATTGATTATGTGGGCCACTTGATCAACCGGAATATTTAATAAATCAGCAAGCTCCTGGTCCCATAAGTCCCACTGAAAAGTTTGATGTATTCATTTCCCTTGCATAGCATAAATTAAAATATTAAATAGTACTCCCTAACTCCTGGAATCAGCAAAAATGAACTTTGAATTGATCTAAACATCAAAAGTGGGGGATAGGTGTTTTCTGAGACCGACAGGAGTAGGGGAATAGTTGGTGTACAGCTTACACCAACTCTCCTCCTTCATGCTTGTTCAGATTTCTGCTCATCCCTCACCTGTGCTCCCTTCAGGCTTCCACTCTTCTGCATCCCCCTCACGGGCCGCCTTCTAACCCTTCCATGAGAATTCCCCTCCCCCAAAGAATAGCAGGCTCTCTGTGGGCCTGTGCTAGACCCAACCTCTGGCCTTTGGTAGGCTCTCTCAGTCTATTGTGGAACCTGACTGTGGAGTCCTGGGCTGTTCTCCACCTCGCCCTCTCTTTTCATGGAGCAACAGATTGATAGAAACTAGAAGCAAGATCTGTTTCATACACTAAGACCATTATGCTGTTGTACACCACTGAGTCATGATATTTACCAAATAGTCTCTTGACATGATATATCTTTTCAAGCTTTAAACTTCACAATTTCCTAATATGAAAAAGTTACGTCAGATTATGGCTAACAAAATTACCATATACGACCATTCATCAGTAGAATAGGACAAGGCAATTTGACAATGTTAATAACTCTTTTTCAAATGTGAAACTAAACAGCAGAGCCACACAGATTGAAACATGATCCCCCAGAGTTAGAAGAAGTATCATTTGCTCCATTCAATCTCTAATCTTTGAAGTCATCCTAACAAATGGAAATCTAACCAAAACATGATTACAAAACTAAATAAAAACCGAAAGAACTGCAGATGCTGTAAATCAGGAATGAAAACAAAGTTGCTGGAAAAGCTCAGCAGGTCTGGCAGCATCTGCGAAGGGAAAAACAGAGTTAACGTTTCGGGTCCGGTGACTCTTCCTCAGAACTGATAGTGGCTGGGAAAATGTCAGTCTCTTCATGGGGTACATGGCACATTCCTTGTTCCAGTCCTATTCCAGCCCCCACCCACAACTCTTTCTCCGAAACATTGATGATATCGTCGGTGCTGCTTCCCTCTCTCGTCTGGAATTGGAAAACTTCATCAATTTCACCTCCAATTTCCACCCTGCCATCACGTTTACCTGGTCTACCTCTGACTCCTCCCTTCCCTTCCTCGACATTTCTGCTTCCATTTCTGGGGATAGACTGGCCACTAATATCCACTACAAACCCACTGACTCCCACAGCTATGTGGACTATAGATCCTCACAACCTGCTTCCTGTAAAGACTTTATCCCATTCCCTCAGTTCCTCCGTCTCCGTCGCATATGTTCAGATGAGGCCAGTTTTGACAAAGGAGCCTCCAAAATGTCCACCTTCTTCCTCAACCGAGGATTCCCCACCTCCGTTGTCGACAGGGCCCTCAATAAGGTCCGACCCATCTCCCGCACTTCCGCCCTCACCCCTTCTCTTCCCTCCCGCAACAGCGATAGCCCTATCCTCACCTACCATTCCACCAGCATTCACATCCAGAAGATCATCAGACGCCGTTTCTGCCACCTCCAGCAATATGCCACCACCAGGCACATATTCCCCTCCCCTCCCTTGTCCGCCTTCCGCAGGGACCGTTCCCTCCAGGACACCCTGGTCCACACCTCCTTCACCCCCAACACATCCCCACAGCACTTTCCCCTGTAACCGGCGAAGGTGCAACACCTGCCCATTTACCACCTCCCTCCCCAGTATCCAAGGGACCAAACATACCTTCCAGGTGAAGCAACACTTCACCTGCACTTCCCAGAATCTGGTCTACTGCATTCGCTGCTCACAATGTGGTCTCCTCTACATTTGGGGAAACGAAGCGTAGACTTGGCGACTGCTTCGCAGAACATCTACGTTCTGCTCGCAAAAAAGACCCTGAACTACCTGTTGCCTGCCACTTCAATGCACCACCCTGCTCTCTGGCCAACATCTCTGTCTCTGGCTTGCTGCAGTGTTCCAGTGAAGCCCAACGCAAGCTGGAGGAACAACACCTCATTTTCTGCCTGGGGACCCTACAGCCCTCTGGACTCAATATTGAGTTCAATAATTTTAGGGCCTAAACTCTCCCATGTCCCAGCACCCTACCCCACACACCAGGCCTTGTTACCACGTAGCCTGCCACTACACACCCCCTGTTGTTAGTCACTAACAGTCCCCATTAACAACTACTCACCCTCCCAGCCTGATCGTTAGCAACTCCTTTATCTGTCCAACTGTCTTTCTTTCTCTTTGGGCTCTATCCTATCGTTTACTCCCTACCCCACCCACCTCCCTATTTTCTGCATATAAACTGACGTTTTCCCAGCCACTATCAGTTCTGAGGAAGGATCACTGGACCCGAACGTAAACTCGGTTTTTTCCTTCACAGATGCTGCCAAACCTGATGAGCTTTTCCAGTAACTTTGTTATAGATCAATCACTCGTTTCTTCAGTAAAATGAATAGGAGTAAGCCACTGACGTCCTCAAACCTGTTCTGCTATTCAGTCAATTGATTCAATGATTGTCATCTGAAATCTCAATTTCTCTGCATCCAAAATCTTGATTTCACTTCTGAATAGTTGAGCTTTGATTTTAAGATTGTTTCCCTTGTTTTGAATTTCTCCACAGGAAATAGGACAGATGCAGATAAACTATCAGATCTCTCTATTATATCATATCATACAGATTGATTAATTAAATCACTCCTCAATCTTCTACTCTTGAGGGAGTATTAAACAAATTTTGTGACCTGCTTGTCTAAGCCCAGTTTATTTGGTATATCTGCATAATGCTTCTTCCAAGCCCACTATATTTCTCCTTGGGAATCATGCCCACAATTTTTAAAATTTATTTTTTCATGGCATGTGGGCTTTAATGGCTAGGCCAGCATTTATTTCCCATCCCTAATTGCCTGTGAGAAGATGGTGATGAACTGCTATTTGAACCACTGCAGTGTGTGATGTGGCTGTGCCCCGAATGCTGTTCAGTAGGCATTTTCAGGATTTTACTAAAGCTTAAAAGTTTTGGCAAAGATCTGTAGCTTGGGTTGTGGGTGAGATTGTTGACTTGCTCGCTGAGCTGGCTTGTTTTCATTCAGATGTTTCGTCACCATGCTAGGTGACATCATCAGTGGGGCATCTGATGAGGCGATGTTGTTCTACTCCACTTGGAATTTGTACTGTCTGATCCGTTACAGTGAGTAGTGTCATTTCCGGTTTTGATCTTAGAAACCCATACAGATCAAAACCAGGAATGACATCGCTTCATCGGAGGCTCCACTGATGATGTCACGTAGCATGGTGCCGAAACGTCTGAATGAAAACAAGCCAGCTTGGCGAGCAAGTCAACAACCTCATTTTACTGAAGCAATAGCAAAGCAACAGTGATATTTCTGGGCTGTGGTCGTGTTCCAATACACCAGCTGCTGTTAGTGTTCTAGTGGCAGAGGTCATGAGTCACAGTACTCTAAATGGATCCTGGTCAAACTTCAACGTCATGTTTGCATTCCAACTTCCATGAGATAAAGGCAAATATTCCATTAACCTGATGATTACTAATTGTACCCATGGTCTAGTTTTTAGTGAATTGTACACAGACACCCAAATCTATTTGATTTTCCACAGTTCTTAATCTTTCACCATTTACACAATATTCTGATTTTTCTCTTTCTTAAATCCAAATTGGATGTCCTCCATGTTGTCTTACATTTAAAATTAATTTGTGATAGTTTTAGCCACTAATGTTGTCTATTCCTCTATCCAGCTACACAACTTTGTCAATTCATTACTTGAAATTGCTTATGTACTAGCAGAGACTTGTAAATATTTGCAGTGTAATAATTTTTCTTATTGCAACAATACTTCTTTACATCTCTTTGCCATGCTATTTTGGCTTCCCTACGCCATCCATCTTCTGCCACATTCAACTGATTGCTTTTATATCTCCCAAATCAAGTCTATTTATATATGGTGAAAAGCTGGTAAAGACTTGGGAAAGATCTGTGGCAGACAAAACTTCTCCCCTTCTGACACTCTGGTAACAGAATAGGGATAATAGCAATATATTCTCCATCTCTCAAACCAATTACCACGCCCTGTCACAAGGTTAACACAAATTCCTTGTGCTGTTTTTTTTCTAATAATTGCATGCTGAATAGGGATGTCATAACAGCAAGTCAACAATTGGAACATATTAATGTCTTCAGGTAATAATAAATCTCCTCGGCAATTTAATACTTTGTAATTTTTTGTTAAAACTATGTATATTCTGTTTACAAGAATGTTTCATTAGAGGACTGTTTTATTTGACTGTAGGCAGTAAAGAGATAACCAGGATGATATTAGAAGCTGGAGCTGAAATAGATGTTGTAAACTCTGTAGGTCGAACAGCAGCACAGATGGCTGCCTTTGTTGGTAAGTTATTGGAATGTACAAGTATATAACTTTTACATATAGTTTATTTCTAATCTGTCAAGTTTTAGAAAAAGCATGCTGATATGAAGGAGAATAATTCTAAGTGGGCACTTGCAACAGTAGTGAAAATATAGAAGTAAATAATGGCTTAAACTTTTTTTATATGTATAATTTTCTTAATGCTGAAGTATATATCTAGTTTTATTGATGTTCTGTGACTAAATGCTAGCAATTCCCAATCCAGTAGCTCATGTACTAAGTATATGCTCTAAGATAACCAATTGCTGTTGAGAATCTCTGTGAGATTTCACAAACAGAAACCTTTAAGCTGAAATTACATGAATGATTAGCAGCACAATCAAGTCACTTTGAAATCTTGCAGTCCCTTGGTGCTCCTTATTTACAAACATTTGGAATTGTGTTGCCACACATTGTAGACCATAGTAATCGGGATTTACAATACATAACTTATTTTCCTGGTGATTTTGATAAATAAAAATCTCATTGCTCCAGTATCGTTATGGCTATTTAGGTTTTGAGCAAAACTTGATCACGGACTCTGTAACTTGAGATGTGGGTTTCCCAAAGTTGGAGGGCACAATATCAATTCTAGTTCTGGGAGATGAAATATTTGTGTATTTATTTTTAAATGGTTCAGTGGTCATGTTTTACTGAAAAGTATTATTGATTGTTATCCTGTTTAGGCCAGCATGACTGCGTAACTATCATCAACAATTTCTTTTCACGTGAAAGATTGGATTGCTACACAAAACCACAAGGCCTTGACAAAGAACCGAAACTTCCAGTCAAATTAGCAGGGCCCCTGCACAAGATCATCATAACAACAAACCTTCACCCAGTTGCGGTTAGATATCTTTGCTCCTGATCCATATGAAAGTTAAGACCATGCTGTTGGTTTTATTTTAGTACTTATTTTCCTTTTTATTTAAAACTACCTTTGCTCCTTTTAAATTTTTGTTGATTGTTAAATATTTCCACAAGGTAAAGCTGGTGAGTCTGCCTGTCCCCAGCACTTTCCTTGAAATAATCCTGAGGCGGTGTGCAATACTTAACCCTCAATTACTTTGAATCCGTTTTTTTAAGTAATTTTTATTTCCTGCTTCAGCTTGGCATGCAGTGTTTGACTATGGTTAGGCTTGTATGATTCAGGATTTATAGGAACAAATTTAGGCTTATTTCATGGCATAGTACTAGATCATTGACTTGTTTACTTCAAAGGGATTTATTGACCATTTCTAAATCTTTGTTATATCATTAGATTTTCTAAAAAGAATTCTGCAATGGTATTTGAATTCCTAGGGTGTAAGGCAGTGATTTTTAAAAAAAATAATAATTTAGGTGTATTCTTTGTAACATTATGAATTATATTTCTTTTATTTATATACGAGAAACTTTAAGTAGACCAGGTTGTTGCAATTTTAACTTTGGAACTGCATCATTTGTTTCTGACAAATTCCTTTTGTCTTGTTGTACAAGGCCGAAGTAAGTAATCTGCACTTAAATTCGGAGTGAACACTGATATGATCGCAGGTTAGCCCAGATTTATACTTTAGCCCAAGGACACTCCATAATCTTTTCTGAATTCTACATGCAGAAGTTATATAAAAGTATTATCTGTTGTGGGAAGTGTGTTAAGTAGCCCATTGTAGAGTGGTAGTTAATGTTTGAAATAAATACTTTTATAAGATTGTTATTTGATTGTGGAAACATAATTTACCAGGGTACTTGGGGGAGATGGGGAGAGGCCTGCCTTTCATATCAAAGGAAATGAGATTCATGAGTACATGTAGTTCAGGCGAAAGCAACATCTCTTTTTAATTGTGAGATGAAATTTATACATATGAAGAGAAACCAGCAGATAACAGCAGTGAAGCTTTACTTTGCATCAGTGAGTCAAATAATTTTCTGTCATTCATTTGAGTTTCCATTTTCTCAGACCTTTGCTTTGTGTCCTGATTTCTGTATTTAAGAGGCAGAATACATTTTCTTAAAATATATTGCATTGTAGGTAGGGTCGATTTGAAGTCCTGACTAATTGACCAATACATCAGATATCCCACCGCTTTCAAGATGACAACCTAGAATTTAAGATTGAAGAGTTCCTTATATACTATTTTTATTATTTGTGTTTCACTTTATTATCTGTGTTTCTCAAGATTGTGCTCATGGTTAAGGAAAATCCTTTACTGGCAGATGTTGAGGCATTGCGCAAATGCTATAAAGTGTTGGATCTTATCATTGAAAAGTGTATGAAACAGAGGGAAATCAATGAAGTGCTGGCAATGAAGATGCACTACCTCAGCTACATCTTCCAGAAGTGTATCAGTTTCTTAAAGGAGCATGAAAATAAACTTGACGGGCTTGTTAAAAGGTAAAAGATTTGTTTGGGAACAACGAAAATGTGTCTGGTAGCAGAAGCCTTGAGCATTGTTGAGAAAGGCACATTTTTGTCAAAGCTCCTTATCTTCTACTCAGCAAGACAATTCACAAGAATACCAATTTGAGGAAAACCAACATTTTTACTGTGTGACAGGAGAGTGCAGATTGGTTGGCAAGTGAATTCTGATTGGTAGAGGCACCAGTTAATGCTGATTGACCAGTTAACTGCCTGTGTTTGGTTAAATTTCAAACTAGGTAGGTTGGTTGATGGGTCCATGACAAGATCTCTAGCAAATGATCAGCACTTTCTGCTCAGACGTTTATAAATGGGGGTTTTCTCTTTAAAGTTTTCATTTTTGCACATTGTCCTGAGGAGTGACAAAATGTCTTTTTTTCAATAAAACTCAAAAACTTAAATGTCTTGCCCAGTATGTAATTCATTAGTAATGACATAATGTATAATTGAGTAGTTTTTAATTGAAGTACATCTACCTTTAGAATGCAATATGCACAGATTCCTGCAGTCTTGGTTTCCAGCAAGGAACACTGAGCTTGTTTGGCAATTTGTTTAATTGTAGTGCCTCTGTTTCTGTGTCATACAGTTTAATTGTACCAAATAGTATCATGGTGTAAAACTAAATTTCTAAAATATGTAGAAATGTATAGTTTCTCTTCCATTCTGTTTTAAAACTGTGTGGTGTAACATGGACATATGAAAGATGTATGGAACTGAAAGACCTCATTGACTTAATACGTAGTCAAGGATGCAGACCTTTGAAAATGTTTTGATATTGTGGACTCGTTGCTATGCAACTTGTGGATAATTAGTGAAATGCCAATTGTAAATCTCTTCAGATCTTTCACTGAAATAATGTTGGTTCTAAAAACCCTTCGTGGAATTTTTGTAACTGTTAAAAGCATAATCACTTGCAATGTTACGGCAAATATATATTCAGCAATAAACAATTGTAGATGTGTTGAGAGTTTTATGGTGGACTGAGTTAAGTTCTCTTGCCTCTTATTATTTTGTGCAGCTTATTAAAAGGACGCGATACAGATGGTTTTCCGTATTACCAAGAAAAATTTATCAGAGAATGCATCCGAAAGTTCCCATGGTGCGAAGCTACACTTTTGCAGCAGCTTGTCAGAACTATTGCTCCTGTTGAAATAGTAAGTTATACAAACTTTAAATCAAAAATGGCTAAGCAATATTTTGTATGAATATTGTACCATATTCTCAGATTTTCTTAAAAATATATCAGTGATATGTTGATATATGATCATTATTCTTTGTGTACACTACTAAACTGAGTTATCGATGGACTGTTCAACTGGGGTGGATCAGGAAAGATGACAGTTGAGAATGCCATCTATTTACATACTTAGATTTCCAGCAATTCTTGTTGAATTGCGGTCAGCAATATAATGATAGCCATTTCACTTGTCAAGAATACTGAGCTAATCTCACAACTTATTCATGATCAAACCCAGAATCACCATGTTTTCAGAGATAGTAGGAACTGCTGATGCTGGCGAATCTGAGATAACAAGGTGTAGAGCTGGATGAACACAGCAGGCCAGGCAGCATCAGAGGAGCAGGAAAGCTGACGTTTCGGGTCTGGACCCTTCTTCA